AGAATTCTATTTTTTACCTAGACAACTTAGACGAAAATAGAACAAGTATAGAAGAACAAGTTAAAACAAAAATAAACTATTTTCTCCTATAATATTATTTGTTCAAGTTGGCATATTTTTACTTGGACGATACCTGGACAATATTTTTTTCTTGGACATAAGCAGATCCATTTTAACCACATTCTAGAATAGCATTTGCGTAATATATTTGATAGCATGACCAGATAGTATATACCTGATAGCATACCTGATAGCATTTGTGTGATATATTTTGTATACATATTTGATAACATATATCTAATAACATGTCTCGATAACATAACTCGATAACATAATTGATAGTACTCAATAACATTTGCGTAATATATTTACCTCTACAAATGATATACAAATTGCAATCAGGTTGTCAAACTCGTGATAAAGCCAACTCAGTAGTATAATCTACCTCAGCTATTTTATTGCAATAGAAATCAGTCGTCATCTCATTTTATCTCTGCTAATCTACCTATTAAACTTGTGATGAGGCCGACTAGGTAGCATAACCTACTTCAGATATTTTATTGTAATGGAAATCAGTCAGAATTACTATCCCGATATACAATAGTTTACATGACGACAGTGTCATATTTTTGTCGTCACGATATGTATCTAGCTCGTCATAACTTAAATTGAGAAGTGTTCTATACTTGAAATAAGTCACAGACATTAAACTGGTATACTACGAAAATGTGGCATAAAATATAGATCATGATACTGACGACAGTGTCATATTTTTGTCATCAAATTTTTTATAGATCGTGGAGGTATTCAAGTGTGATGACGTGAATATAAATACGTCATTATATTTTTTATAAATCATAGGTACCTAAGTATGACGATGAACTCATGAACCAATCATCACTTGAATGACGACGCAAGCGTAAATTATTTGTCACTCGAATAATAGAGCGAATACTAATATATCTCTGACGATGATGACGTATTTCTGTCATCACAACACTGACGACGGTGACGCATTTCTGTCATCACAATACTGATGACAGTAACGCATTTCTGTCATCATACCTGAGTAGGAATAACCTAGACTAAGTGGAAATAACATAATTATGTTATTTCCACTCCTTTAAAAATTATATATACTAGTTACTACCTATGTATATATCTCTTTGATTAATAATTTCCAATATGTCTACTTAGTACTAATCCAACAAAGCAAGGCTTTCACAATTTCACGTAATATCTAGTCAACAGAAGTTGATTACAGAACATATGCTATACATGTTTATGAGTTGTTGTTGTTTAGTAGCATCCAATGTGACTTTCTTAAAATAGACATAATATGAATATTGATCTTTTGGCAAGGGTAAGCCAAATCTCTATTTTTTATTGTCGAGAAACAAAGGGAAACAATTTCAAGTTCAAAAGTCTAGTTGTCAAGGATATAGAAAATAGTTCTTCCAAAAAACAAAACTAAGAGAGTAGTAGTATGCTTGATCTAGTACAAGTATAGTTGGAGTCCTTCTTTACTTCTTCTTTTCACTTTCTGTACCTTTCTACTAAGCAAACTTAAAGTTGCTCCACCAAAGTCAGACAGCAAAAAGCCTAGTACAACCTTGAAACTGACTTGTTGCAGTTCTTGCTTCTGACTTATCATAGTTTCGTAGTTTATTCTTTATGTAGTCAGACACTTTAAGTTGCTTTACCAGGTAGTAGTGCAAGAAAAATAACTTTTTTGTTGTTTTGTTATTTTAGTTTTGATAATCGTCGAAAAGAGTTGAGCTATAACCTTAATTAAATTTTATTTTTATAATTTTAATTATATAAATTAAAATTAATATCTATATATAAACAAATAGTTTACTAGATTTATATTTTTTTTTTTATTATATATAATTTATAAATAGTTTATTTGTTTATTTTTTTTATTATTATTAAGGCTATTTCCTTAGCTAATTATATTTTATTAATTTGTTATTACAGAGTTATCAAAATAGTAATCTCCTAAGATTTTATAATTATATGATGAATATATAACAAGCTATATATATAACTTTAGTCATTATCTAATTTAAGTAGTTCACTATATAGACAATTAACTATCTTTTAGTTCTATATTATACTACTATATCTGCAACTCACTTATGAATTACTTATTTAAACACTCTAATTATTAATCTTTTCTCCTATTCTAAATTAATATCACTATTATATCTGACTATTTAAACTAGCTAACTTGTCTATAAATCTATTTACTACATGACTTAGATCCTCTCAGGATGCATATTGTCTAATATATTATGAGCATATAAAGTTTTAGTTAACCTCAGAAATGAATTTTACTAGAGTAGTCATATATTTATTTTACAGATTTATTTAAATTAAACCCTTGTTGATGTTTATACAAACCTAGTTTCTGCTGTGGCTCTCTATCAGATTAGTCTTTTAAGATTTTAGTCAAATACTTTACAAAGTAGATTTTTTTAATTTAGTTAGCTACTAAACCAAGTTAGTATTACTGCTAATACAAGATATTAGATTGTATTTTATAGTAGACTTACTTACACTTACTTGATCTCATCTTTCATATTTAGATTTTTTACTAAATTAAGTATTAACTAGTATAACTATTAAAATCTATACTACTTTACTAAACTTAGAATTTCTACTATACAGGTCTTCTATTCATAGATTCTATTAAAATTTATTCATATAATATAACTCAAATATTGCTTTATATTTCTAATATCTAATTAATATTAGTATAATATGATTTATAAGATTATAACTTCTAGAAATAAACAGAGTTTACTATAAGTTAAGTACAAATATTCAGGTAATTATTCAAATTCATAATAGTAGGATTTGAATTCTAGACCTTTTGTATAGCAGTCTGACAATCTAACTACTATACTTTTAGTATCGTTCGATGGATTTAGAGCTGATTACTTGGATAGGAATATTACTCCCACATTAAATAAACTTAGTAAGCCCAATTAATGTTTTTTTTTTTTTTTTTTTTTGGTATAATTATTCTCGTTTACTCTGGTTAATTATTTTTATTTTTATTACAGTTCAGAATGGCATTAAAGCCGAATATATGATGCCATCATTTCCGGTCTACAAAAATTTTCTAAAATGATTACTGGCTGGTTAAATTCGTTTAATAATTTCTAATTTATTATTATTATTATTATTTTTTAACAGTCTGTAACATTTCCTAATCACTATACAATTGTAACTGGCCTTTATCCTGAATCTCATGGAATTGTCGGAAATGAATTTTATGATCCGGATCTTGATGATGAATTTTATTACACTAATCCTAATAAAAGCTGGGATTCAAAATGGTGGGGTGGTGAACCAGTCAGTACTTTTACAACTTATTTAAATTTTTTTTTTTTTTTTTTTTTTTATCCCGTTAATTAATTAATTAATTATTTTTTTTTTTTACAGATTTGGGTAACTGCTGTTAAGCAAGGTCAAAAATCTGGTGTATCACAGTGGGTCGGAACTTCTTCTGTTATCAAAGGATATACACCGACTTATCATTATCCATATGCTCCTAATGTTACTAATGAAGAAAAAATTAAACATATAACGAATTGGTTAGATCTTCCATTAGATGAAAGACCAACTTTCCTTGCTGCTTATGCAAGTAAAGTGGATAGTGCTGGTCATAAATTTGGTCCTGATTCTGTAGGTGTAAATGATTCTCTTAGATACGTTGATGATTTTGCTCTTGGCTTGTGGGAAGGTTTGGCTCAGAGAAATTTAACTGATATTGTCAACTTTATAATTGTTAGTATTTTAGTATTTTCGATTCAGCTTATTTTTATCCCTCTTTTTTTTTTATATATATATATATTAGATTATCTATTAACTTTTTTTTAATTAGGTTAGTGATCACGGAATGGCTCAGACTATTTCGAGTAATCAAATTTTTTTAGATAATGCTTTCAATGTTTCAAAAGTTCGTCCCGTAGAAGGTAATCCATTAGCTGGAATTCGTCCATATAACGACTCTGATATCAATGATATATATTTATCATTGAAAGAAGCGAGTCAAAATCAGCCTTGGAATTGTTATCTCCGTGAGGAAATACCTGAGCGTTTTCATTTCCGTGCGTCACGTCGCATAGCTCCAATATTTTGTATTCCTCCTGTAGGTTGGATTCTCACAACACATCGTGATTTTGGTAATTCAACTCCAAAAGGGGCTCACGGTTATGATAATCTTGAACCAGAAATGAGAGGAATATTTTTAGCTTCAGGTCCTGCATTCAAGGAAATAGCACAGAAAAAAAAGACGAATGTAGTAAAAAGTTTTTTTAATTTCGAAGTTTATAACATAATGACTAAAATTTTAAGTTTAACTCCCGCTGAAAACAATGGTACTTATGGCGGAATTCTTTGGGATGATTAATTTAAATTTAGATTTTTTTTTAATATTGATAGAATTAAAATTCTCATTAAAACAACTCTGCATTTTTCAATATGTAAATAAGAATCCATAATTGATAAAATTCAATAAATATTAACACCACGAGACCTAGAAATATATATACATGATATGAGTGCGTGAGAGTGAAAATCCTTAACTATACATAATGATTTACTATGATAGATTATAGGTTTTCGCTCTCATGCACTTATAATGTGGAAAAAATTAGCGCGAAAATTTTGTATATGTGCGCCTTTGTACATATATGCTAAACAATGACAATTGCCAAATATATAATACAATATAGAACAAGTTTAAAAAAAACGAAATTGTGTAACTAGTCACGTGCCTGAAGTATATATTAATTAATTTAAGACATTAAATTATTAAGTTACTTGTACTGTAGTTGCAAAAGTTAAGTTGTTTATTGGGTTGCTGAAAAAAATTGCTTCGTAGCTAATCAAATTCGTGAAGAAAAACACAGATAATTCCGTATTTATGACATTTGAATTGTTGCACTAGTTCACCAGTAGCAGTTCTCCAAAGTCTTATTATTGTATCGGAGGAAACTAAAATTTAAAATAAAATTAGCATTATAATTTAAAAAAATGTATATATATTCTCAACTTACCAGTTATAAAGATTCGAGAGTCATTAGACCAAACACAATCCTTTACCCAGAAAGGAGTCGGATGTTCAAATTTCAGACTTTCCTCAAATCCTTGAATCATACTTTTTTTTTCCGTATTATTTCTTAGTCTATTTGTTTCATCTTTATATAAAATTCTCCAAATTTTTGCCGTCTGGTCCGCACCACATGTTGCCAGATATCTACATATTAAAATAAATTATTAACATGTCAAAATAGTTATTCAATTTGATTAAATTAATTACCTAGCATCCGGATTCAATAAACATTTAGTAATATATGATTTATTGCCCCATTTAGAACCATGTGCTTGGTGTTTTATAGGATTCGGTAGGGTATTTGTTGCATTTACAGAAATCAAATCCCAAGCATAGCAATATCCCTACAACATAAGATTATATTACATTTGAAAATTGAATAATATTACTTAATGTTACTTTATTTACTTCACTGTTTGTTGCAACCATTATAGAATCATTCTGAGCAATACTTAAAGAATGTAAAGGGGAGGCAGGAATATCATCTCCAACCACCTTTTCTACCAATCAATAATATTTTTTCGTTAATCCCTTTATAAAATATATATTAGATACATATTAGTATGACATGATTGTAAAGATACATTTTACCTGATGAAATAAACTCGTATTAGATTCACTCCTTATATCCCAAAATTTTATGTAACCTTCTGCATCTATCGATACTAATTTGTTTTTTGATGGATATTTTGCTACGTCATTTACCATGGACTTTCTTGCGTTATACCAAGCACATATATCATCTGGAACAAAATTGTTGAATGTCTTTTTTACCGATCTTTCTCTTTTGGATTATAAATGATATTTAAAATATTAGCAAAGTATTATTAAGAAACCGTTTTTTTTTTTTTTTTTTACAATACCTGACATCCCAAAGTTTTAAAGTTCCATCTTCACCTCCCGTGTAAATTATATTATCATCAATAAAGCCGACAGCTGTTACATTATGTTTATGTCCTTTTAATGTGATAATCTACAGTTAAAAATTTAAAATTTAAAAAACTTTTTTATTTTATTATTATATAAAGTTCAATTTATATAATGTATTTATTATTTGACTTACTGGACTCGGATTATGGGTGGTCATATCATATAATCGAACATTGGGATTACCTAAAAAAATTATTAAACGTATTTTTTGTATCTTAATAAATTTATTTCTACTAATATATTACTTACCCTGATTTACTTTAATTGAAACAATGATTTTAAAAATCACCTGCTGCGGCGAGAAATTTTCTGTCAGGTGATAAAGTTACTCTATTCACTTGCTAAATGTAAAGAAATGAAATTTAAGAAATATATATTTTTTTTAAAAAAAAAAAATATGAGGATTATAATAATAATTATATACCGAATCAAAATGATCCATAGTTCGCCAAGAAACACCTTCAGGAACTTCCCATAATCTTATAGTTTGATCGTGATCACCAGTAGCTAATATAACTTTAGGTAACATGGATATTTTCCTTTGAGCAGCTTTTTGAACATAAATTTGACGATTATTATCATACATTTCTGAAAGATATGAAGACCTACGCCTTTGATCTATTAATCTAGGCCTTATTTGACCAGAAGTAATAGGTACAAATGGTTTAGGTGCTACAAATCGATGTACTTCTATAACATTTCGTGATGATTCTGATTCTTGAAATGATTCTTCAACTGAATAAGGTTGTGTAGAATCTATTTTAGTTACAGATGGAAAAAGCCGATCAAGTCGAGCGCTTCCTAGAATACTTTCATCGGGTGGGTGATGATGTTCTGGCCAGTGCGATTGCTCCATATTTTTATTTTTATTTTTATTTTTTTTGGAAAATGTTTGAAGGAAGTAACCAAATCAAATAAAAAAAGTGAATGAAAGAAATTGATTATTAGGTAATAATTATTTAATTCAAGTCAGTCTTATCCGATAATGATCTCAACATAATTATACGTAAGAAACCAAAAATAGTCTTAAGAATTTACCCTAATAAATTATAATGACTTTTAATATATAAATGTTACAATTAGAATAGAAAAATAGTTTAAATTGGTTGAATATTTTTATTTAGTTTACATAAACACCGTTATATACACCCTATAAAAAAATATAGATTTGTTTCCCATTTATGAGTTATATGTGTAAATATTCAGAAAATATCCAGAATCTCTTGGATATAATATAGTTTTTATTATTTATTTTTTTTTATTTTGCTAATAAAAACCGACATGAAAATAATTCAAAGTAACTTTCTTTTCATACTAGAAAACTTTAAGGGTTTTGTCGCATTGTTTTATAGTATTTATAGCTTGTAATAATTACATAAATTTTAGAAAACGTCATTTAGTGAGTTACCAAATACAGTTTATCGAATCTCTTCAAGGTAATGATGATCTACTGTATATGTTTTGTGGAAAAGATATTTTTCACTTCTAAGCTAACATTTGTATCTTACAATATAATTAGTATTCTTTATTATAATATTTTTATACTGGGAGGTTTCAAAATTAAATCAGAAAATCTCATTTTATAAGTCAACATTAGAGATAAGCAAAGTAAGTAACATATTATTACTTATTATTTTTAATAATAAGTAAAGATGCAAAATTCAATTCGAAGAGTTTAAAATTTTACTCTAGATTATATTTGAAAATTGTACGTAATAAGTAATAATCATATATCATAAGTAGGGTTGTGTTACGTACGAAAATTACAATTTTCAGTAAATCGTAAGTTTGATCACATGATATAAAGTACGGCCTGGTTTTTATTCATTAATATCCAAGACATCCGTTACAATATCATTATATTTAAATATAAAGCAGGTAACTAATTGCTGTACTGTACGTTTATTTAAATCATTTCAGTCACACGATATGAAGATTTTGCATATTAATTTTATTTTGTGATTATTTTTACTTCGTGATTCCAATTCACTTGATCATGATTACTATTATTTGATGTTGATTGTTTTCGTTTCTTATTAACATTTGAAGCTTCATTTATTGTTGAATTTCGCAAAGAACATATATCCAAATGCTCTTGTAATCTCGTTGCATTTTTTGCCGCTTTCTTGTCACATGCTTTGCATTTGTAATGCTCTTTTCCTTTTTTGTCTATCCGCATAGTATATTTGATCTCATATTTCAACTTTTTTTTTTTTAACTATTTTTAGTATAGTAGTATGTTATAAAATTTTTAGGTTTGATTTTATATTATTTTATATTTTAAAAACTATGCTTTATATGACAAATAATTAAACAAACAAATAATTACATATTTGATATCTTGTGATTAAAATTATAACAAATTTAGTAATTAGTGAATGAAAAATTTAATAAACATAGCATGATTAAAATTACAGTTTGATTTAATTTAATTTACTGAATTTTACAAAAAAATTAAACAAAATTATAGGAAATAATATGTAAATTTAAGTATTAGATAAAAAAAATAAGTAATTACTTATCAGCTAAAAAACATTTCTTTTTACAGAGATTCAAAATATTTTAACAAAAAAAAAAAAATTTTATAAAATTTTATTATAGATCTTATTAAACTTTAATTCTAATACAAGTTTTAAACTCTAATCTTAAAATTAAAGAAAAATATTTTTATTTGTCTTTTTGTTTATTTATTTTTTTTATTATTATTAAGATAGCTTCTTTGGCTAATTAGATTTTATTAAATAGTTATTGCAGAGTTATTGTAATAATAATTTTCTAAGATTTTATAGTTATATGATAAGTATACAATAAGCTATATATACAACTTAAGCAAACTCTTTCTGATGATTACTCAAACTACATGCAGAGCAAACTTTTTATTTTAAAAATAGTAATAGAGCTAATATTTTAACAAATATATAGCAACATCAATAGAAAAAACAACGCGAGATATGTCTCAAGAACTTGGTAGCACTTGTTTACTAGAGACTATAAGCAATACGACTTGGTTCTGGTGAAGAGTAACCAGAAGATGTTTTTAAAGAAATTTATTACTGAATTTATTTTTTGAAAGTTGGAAGATACTCAGTAGACTCTTTACAATATCTAAGTTAGGTCAGGCATTAATACACTCTCTATTACAAGGTGGTTCAAAAACTATATACTCCACTCCTCTTTAGTCATCCTTTTTTTCAAAAAGTAAGGAAATTAGTTTCCTCTCTCCAAATGATCAACAATATTTACTACTATTTTTAGAAAACTCCAATAATAACAACCACATAATAACAAACATGTGGCTATGTTTTGTTTTGTCACGTGTATTGGGTTCTGGAAAGTTTTGGTAAAATGGCGCAAATACAGAAATAGAGGATACTAGGAATAGATATTGAACAGAGAATTTAAGAGATATGTTCATATTGTTTAAACATAATATTTTTACACCTGGTCCAGGTCAAAGAGCAATATTTCTTTTTGTTTTGTTTTTTTCTTTCTTTATTTGTTTTTGTTCTATATTAGTTTTCTTTACTTGTAGCAGGTTTTTTCTAGTATAGATTTAGTTATAGACTGTAACTACTTAGGTTTATACAATTTTTATCACTTTTATATCTTGAGACTAGATACTAACTTCTTTTTACTTAGTTTTAACTAGGTAGAAAGAGACCTAGGATTTTGATATATGGCTAGAAATCGCCTTCGTTGACTGAATTTTGAGAATCTATTCGAACAGATTAAGGTTTTTGTAAGAGAATAGCCTCTGCGGCAAATTGAACTTGGGTACTCTAGAGGCAGCCAAGTTAGTTCAGAATAGTATAGGGAGAACAAATTAGTATACTTGTATATTAGATTATTTTTAGCTTTCTTTTTAGCTTTCTTTTAATAAATGACAGGCAAGATCGCTCAAGATATAAAAAAAATAAAAATATATATACAACTTAAATTATTATTTAATTTAAGTAGTCTGCTATATAGATAATTAACTATCTGTTAGCTTTATACTATATTGCTATATTTGCAATCTGTCTATGAATTATCTATTTAAATATTCTGATTATTAACTCTTTCTTTCATTCTAAACTAATATTACTACTATATCTAACTACTTAAGCTAGCTAACTTGTCTATAGATCTAAATGATAAGATATTGATCTTACTGAATATAGAACACCTCTGACATATATAAAAACTTAAAAAAGTAAGTTCTTATTGTAGAGTAGATATTTCATATGTTGAAGATATATAATAATCTGAAATAGCTAAAAGTACTAGATTAGTAGAAGAAATACAAATAGTATATAAAGGTATACTAACATTAAATACTAACCTCTTCTGATGAAAGCTAGAAGTAGTACTATGTATTACAAATCTAGTTGAGAGTAATCTCTGATTACAAAATATAGCTTGTACTTACTAATACATAGGAGTTCTCTAAAAGGTATATGAATATAGCATATATATACAATTTGATATAAGTAAGTACTTTCATATTTTAGTATTATGTAAATACTAATAAAAATATTTTTAAGCCAGAATATCTAAAATAAGAAGTGACTGTAAGGATCATAATACTGATAATCTGTAATAGATAAAGACCTATTAGGAAATAGCTTTATATAAATATATAAGTAATACAAAAAATACAGTAAGAACTTTGAACAGATAAGTTATAATATAATATAAGTCTAAAGTTATATAAATACAGGTTATACAGGTCTGGCGATCTTAGTGTAGTGGTTAGGTTGCCAGACCGCCATGCAAGAGGTCTGGGGTTCAAATCCCACTGTC